TGCAGTTACATTTCTAAATTAGGAGTTTGACCCTAGAAATCTCTGGAAGGTTTCATGTTTGGCATGATTGTAGCTAGAAGACTTATTCTCAGAGCCTGGAAATCACCATCTCCTCCATTGTTCAGGGTTTGGCTGCGTGAGATGATTGCTTGTTTGTATATTGAAGAGGTTCGTTATCGTTTGGCTGAAATCTGGGGCCCTTTTCTTGATCATATTAATGGGAACTTCACATAAACTTGACTGCACTTTGTGTTTGTGTGAAACTGCACGTCTGCCAGACTCTGATTCCTTCCTGGACATGTTTCCCACATCTGGTGGTGGTGAACTCTCTGCTGCCCTAAACTCACACAGAAGATCATCTTCTTTGGACAACGGTGTTTCTTTTGAACTTTTGATTTGTACTGGCTAACTGGTGTATTTTTATTTATTTTTTTATTTTTATTTTTATTTTTTTTATTATTTTTATTTTTATTTTTTTTATTATTTTTTTTATTATTTTTTTATTTTTATTTTTATTTTTATTTTTATTTATTTTTATTTATTTATTTATTTATTTATTTATTTTTTTATTTTTTTTCCTTTTCTTTCCTGTTTTCCTGTTTGGGTTTTTTTTTTGTGTGTGTGTTTGTGTTTGGTTTGACGTTATGTAACTTTGAACTTAAAATCTTATAAATAAACATTAAAAAAAGAAAAGAAAAGAAATCTCTGGAAGGTTTCATGTGTGGCTGCCCTCCGGTCACGTTGTAAATACTATTGTTTTGCTCTTAAATTAAAAAAATCTTTGTTTTATCTGACAGAATATTCACAATTAGGAACATTCAGTCTAAAAATCTCCCCCACTGATCTGATACTTGTAATATGAAGGCGTCCTGATAGCTCACTGTGAAGCCTTCACTTTATCTGTTATTCTGATTGGAGAGTACAAAGAGGGTCGAAAAACTGTTTCACCCCAGGGATTCATCACAGACGTCCCCCCTCCTCCTCCTCGTGGTTTTGTTTTTGTTGATAGGGAACCATTGCAGGGTCTTTACCTTGAAGTATGGATCTCCTTGAGACAGGCTGTTGCAATTTGACCCTTTTTAAATCAAATGTAATTGAACTTCTTGTGTTGCTAATGAAACTGATCTCTCGCTCAAGGGAGCAGCAGGACTTTAACAGTCTGTCAGAAGTTGAAGAAGACGTCTGTAACGTCGTTAATGGACACAGCTGAACTCAGCTGCTCATTATGTTATCACGCTCATTAGACAAAGACCTTGTTGAGCTAATAAGGCGCTCTATAACAATCATTTTCAAGTCTTTGATTGCAACTCTTGAGGCTACATCTCGGCTCAGAGGCATTTATCTGTCCTCGC